ATCGTCCAAAATATACCATCATGAAAACACAAAGCCAAAAGTTACTTGAAGACAACACCAAGTGAGATTGAGTATATCAGATAACAAATGAAGAACATGATAGCGTCGATGATTGAGTTTTTTTTATGTTCTTTTTTAGATGAAACCCTAAGTAGAGCACACACAATGTAGCGAGTATCGACAGAAGCACAACAACTGTAAGTCGTGGATCCCCAATCGAATATAGAAGGAGACGAAAGGAAACAACAAATTTGTAACACCCCGAATTCAGAAGACCTAGAAAGGAAAGAAAAACCTCAAAATAAGGAAGTGACTGGTCGAGTAGATGGGGTGACTCGATGAGTAGGAGCGCGAATTGGGTCGCGGGTTAAGTGACCTACTCGACGAGTCAGAAGACTGACTCGGCGAGTTGGTCAGGTTTTGGGAAAAACCTAAATTCGGACTTGGTACCCTATTTAAGCATCTCATTGTCATTTCCTCAGCCTCCTTGATGCTCTCTCAAGACCAGAACGAAACCCTAGTGCCTTCCATGAGTTTGTGAGCATTCTTGAGTGCTGTGAAGCTTGAAGAAGAAGGCGAAGCCTTGGGGATACAAGAAGAGTCTAGTAGATCCAGAAACCTCTTGCATTCTCCTCCATTTTCTGGTAAGAAAGCTTCCACCTTGATCATTATGCATGTAGATTTATTCTTTGTCACTTTTGGGGGGGTTTTTGGTCCAAGAACCCTAGCATGAGAGGAATGGACGTCCCAAGAGCTTGTGTTTTCAGATCTAGCACCATTAAGGGCTGTTATGGCATAAAGGTGCAAGCTTTATGCCATAGGAATCCCTATGCAAGCATATGAAGTGCTCTTTTGGCCTTTTTAGCTCAAAAGGCCATGAATGGAGGAAAAAGGCAGTAGCTTTGCATGGTTATGAGGTGGTTGGGTCCAGATCTATGTTTTGGATGCTTTGAGACCCTCAGAAATCGTTTGAATAGATTGGGACATAGAGGGACTCGACGAGTCACTTGTGGGACTCGGCGAGTCAGACCGTTTTCTTGCCCCAAAACCCTTCTGTTAAAGGGTGTGAGTTGAGTTGGAAAGGGGCTCGGCCAGTCTGGGTTCTTAGGGGACCTGGAGATCATCGTACTAGACGAGTTCAAGGAGGAACTTGGCGAGTCTAAGGCAATCTCCCTAATTTATGAAGGTGGACTCGACGAGTTCAAAGGAGAACTCAGCGAGTCAGATGAAGGAAGGTCCCGATGTGTTGAAGGTGGACTCGGCGAATTCAAAGGAGAACTCGACGAGTCAGATGAAGGAGGGTCCCGATGTGTTGAAGGTGTACTCGACGAGTTCACGGAGAACTCGACGAGTAGGATCGAAGTCCAGAGTTTTGTGTGGAATGTGGGACTTGACGAGTTGGTAGGCCAACTCGGCGAGTTGAAGTCAACTCGGAGCATTGACTTTGACCGTTGACTTTGACCAAGTTTGACCTGGGTTGACTTTTGGAATATTGTGGTCTAAATGTTATTTTGGGTATTGATAGTTCGGGAAGCCGAAGGGTCAGTAGTTCAGGAGTTGCCGGTTAGCAGTCAGAAGTGTTCGGCTAGTCTTCAGCAGTGCAAGGTGAGTCTCCTCACTGTGTGCATGGGTCTACAGCCACAATGCCGGTCCATTATGTTTATGTAATGTTTATGTATAGAAGGAAGACCTGGGGGTTAGCCCTAGGCACTTATTGATATATGTTCCGGGTTACGACCTGATGTCGGGCGAGGCCCGCGAAATGTTAGGATGCTAGAGGTCTTTGTGATTCTTCCATGTGTCGGTACGATAGGTTCCGGACCGAGGGTCCGATGTCGGGGTAAGCCTGAAGTATGTTAGATAATAGTATGTCTCCGGACCGGGGGTCCGATGCCGAGGCAATCTCGAGGAAGATTCTTATGTTGTATGTTAGATTATACTTGTTGTCTACGTGATACTTGTAAGTTCCTGGTAGGGAGGTGAGTGTGGGCGAGGTCCCGTATCTCATCACTAGCTGAGTATGGATGGGGTTCCATATCTCGATATTAGCAGAGTAGGGGCGAAGCCCGTGATAGGAAGGATGTGAGTGTGGGCAGGGGCCCGTATCTCACTAATAGTAGGAGTATGGACGAGGTTCCACTACTTCAGTAGCAGACCAGGGGCGGGGCCCAAGTTAGGCGAGGCCTTAGATCAGGGTACAGTTAGAGTATGATTATGTATGTTCTAGTATGTTATTTGATTGTATGTATGTGTGTAGCGGGCAAGGCCTGGAGTCAGGCGGGGCCTAAGGGAGACAAATCTGTATACCGAGCGGGGCTCGATGCCAGGTGGGACCTGATGTTAGGCGGGGCCTGATGCCAGGCGGGGCCCGATGCCGGGCGAGGCCCGATGCGGCGGGCGGGGGGCCCAGTATGTGGTTTATGTGTTCATGGTTATGCGTTTATGGTATGTGGTAGGTTGGGGAACTCACTAAGCTTCGTGCTTACGGTTTTTAGTTTTGGTTTCAGGTAGTTCCGGTAGCGGAGGGAAGAGCTCGGGATGATCGCATGACACACACCAAGAAGTTTAGCATGTGATGTTTACTCTGATAAAATGAACAGGTGTTTTGAAAAGATACTCTGATTTGTTATATAACCCTTTTAGTATGTCTGGAATGATTTAATACTATGGTTTAGTAATATTTTAAAAAGAAATTTTTGGTCATGATTTTTGGGATGTTACAAAATCCCATGTCGTTAGATTCATGTAAGATATACTTTCTCCTCGACAGTTGTCGAGGAAACCCAATTTCATTTAAGACAAACGATTTAATCAGAAGAAAAGAAAAGGCGACGAGAAGCACAACAACTATAACCCGGAGCCGTAATCGAATACGAAAGGAGGATAAAGGGATGTACCTGAAAAAGAAAGGGTATATAAGAGCTTTAGAATTAGAGCCAAAACCATAGGTATCAACAAATCATAGTATCATAATTACCATCAGGATCGGCAATCCCTGCCATTTAAAGTGCATCTGAATTTGCTAAATCTGAATTTACCGGTGTAATGGCTAAGATTATACAATGTGGCTGCCTAATGTAGGAGAGTATAATTTCACGGATTTATGCTTCAATGTCCAATGGTTGGTCACCTATTGGGACCTTTGTCATTCTAGGTAGATCAACCAATGTCATGTCAAGAACTTTGTGTGAATATATCTTCAAGAAGATATGTTTGTTTGAAACCCACTTACTACCTCCTGCTCCCCTCTCAGTTTCAACCTTCACAAAACAAAATGAGGTAAACCATTGTGTAATGGTTGCAAAATCTCAGAAGTTGATTCTAATTAAAACACCATAGTCTAAATCCAAATACCTGAATTTCTGCACGAATCTAGGAGAAATCAAAGAAATTCCTCCTTGGCAAGTGGCAAAACTCGCCAAAATCACCGACTTCTTCATTACTCCATACTAACTGCAAAAGCGTGGACGCCGAGTGCATATATCAAAAATCCTAGGTAAAAAGTCACAACCGACAAGGGCTTCTAAAACACTCGACTTCCCGCTGCTTTGGTTGCCAACGAAACCATCTGCGACAAATCTAATTCCAAATCTCCTCTACTGATCTTTGCGGGTACTCTACGAAGCTTGTTCACTATTGGGATCACGGTGGTGCCAAGTAGTGGTTCTATTGGGGGGACGGAGGTTGATTTTTCGATGTCGTGGGCCATGAATGATTTAGGGGAAATCAGTGAGTGTGATGAAATTATAAGAAGCAATCGCGAATCTATTTGAGAAATTATGGCACGACTTGTTTGATTAAGAAATGGGTTTGCTGGGAGGTTGGCATGATTAATCCAACTGTGGATGTCGTTGCTTGTTGTGTGATGACCGTTGCTGTTCGTCGGACCGGGTCCCAGAATTCTGGTGTAGATGAATTTAGGAGACGGTGCATATGCAATCGATTAGAGGAAAAGGAGAAGTAGAAAAGTGGAGACATCCGATTGATTGCCAACAATTCGGCTCGAAACAACATAACAATGAAACACGTATCATCTGAAGCAGAAGCCCATCAATGACTAAAAACGAAATATCGCCACATTGGTACCTAGTGATAGAAATAGGTAAGTGTGATTAACAGAGGAACCAAAAGTGTGCAACTCATTTTGTTACTAAGGTGACTTTAAGAGAGGCATAGACTAAAATTGACAATCTCAATTAATTAGTTTGACCGAAATAAGATCATCCAAAAATAATGTTTTATATAATAAAAATATTTATTCAACTAAAAAATAACAAACTAAGGGCGTGTTTGGCACGGAGCTTTTGGAAGTGTTTGGAGGCTTCTAGCTTTTAGTTTTTGACAAAACGCTATAGTTTAAACAAAAAGCTTCGTTTGGCAGTACGAGCGTTTAACTTTTAGTTTAAACAAAACGCCCAAAATCTAAAACTACTTCATGTAGCGTTTAACAAAACGCTACTGAGCATTTGAAATCAATTTCCATAATTACCCTTACAAATATATTTATATATTTATTTATTTTTAATCAATTGTCCTTATATGTAATTTTATATATTTCAAAAGCTACCAGCTACTTTTGCCAAACACTCATATAACAAATAAAAACTACAGTTTCTCGCTACCAGCTACCCGCTACACGCTACCCGCTACACGCTACTAGCTAACCGCTATCTGTTTCCAGCTAACAGCTACTTCTGCCAAACACGCATAAATAACTTCTACATAATTTACGAATAAAAATAAATAAAAGTTTGGAATCCAAAATGTAAAAAAAAAATGATTTGCTTAATTGTAAAATGAATCATGTTTAGATTTCGGACTTTTAGGTGGAACATTTCTGTTTGCTAATTTACGCTCCTCTCACTGCTAGGGTTTCTCTTCAGTCTTCCCCCATTTCCAGCCAAACTAGGGTTTCTGTCACACAAAAGCCTCAAATCTACGATCTGGAATTTTAAAACTTTCAACACTTAAATTGAACATATTCTCATCTTTCGAAAGCAATGGCAACCATGGCAGCTCAAGCACCACGCGCATCCAAGACAGAGAGCTATGTCGACAACAAACGGAAGGACGATATCCGTATGGCGAACATCAAATCGGCACGCTCCGTCGCAGACGCCGTCCGTACCAGTCTCGGTCCGAAGGGAATGGACAAGATGATTTCAACAGCCTCCGGAGAAGTCATCATCACTAACGACGGCGCCACCATCCTCAACAAAATGGAAGTGCTCCAGCCCGCCGCCAAGATGCTCGTCGAACTATCAAAGTCACAAGACGTTGTCGCTGGTGATGGAACCACCACCGTCGTCGTCATCGCTGGTGCACTCTTGAAACAATGTCAACAACTTCTTCATTCCGGTATTCACCCCACTGTTATATCTGATTCCCTCCACAAAGCCTCCATGAAAGCGGTTGATGTTCTTACCGCCATGGCAGTTCCTGTTGAGCTCTCCGATCGCGAATCTCTCGTTAAATCCGCATCTACTTCCCTTAACAGCAAGGTAGTTTCACAGTACTCTACACTTCTAGCCCCTTTAGCCGTAGATTCCGTTTTATCTGTTGTGGATCCTGCAAAACCCGATTTAGTTGATCTTAGGGATGTGAAAATCGTGAAGAAACTCGGTGGTACTGTTGATGACACAGAGCTTGTCAAGGGTCTAGTATTCGACAAGAAGGTTAGCCACGCTGCTGGTGGTCCTACTCGTGTTGAGAATGCCAAAATCGCTGTCATTCAGTTCCAGATCTCCCCTCCCAAAACTGACATTGAACAATCCATTGTAGTATCAGATTACACCCAAATGGATAGGATTCTGAAGGAAGAGAGGAATTACATTCTCAGCATGATCAAAAAGATCAAATCCGCTGGTTGTAACGTGTTGTTGATCCAGAAAAGCATCTTAAGAGATGCAGTTACAGATTTGTCTCTCCATTATCTTGCCAAAGCCAAGATTTTGGTGATCAAGGATGTTGAACGTGATGATATTGAGTTCATCACCAAGACACTAAACTGCTTACCAATTGCAAACATTGAACACTTCCGCGCTGAAAAACTTGGGTATGCTGATATGGTGGAAGAAGCTTCTCTTGGAGATGGAAAGATTGTTAAGATAACTGGAATCAAAGACATGGGTAGAACAACAACTGTTCTTGTTCGTGGATCCAATCAGCTTGTTCTTGATGAAGCAGAAAGAAGCTTGCATGATGCTTTATGTGTGGTGAGGTGCCTAGTGAACAAGAAGTTTCTGATTGCAGGTGGTGGGGCCCCTGAAATTGAGCTGTCTAGGCAGTTGGGTGCATGGTCTAAGGTGTTGCAGGGTATGGAGAGTTATTGTGTGAGATCTTTTGCTGAGGCTCTTGAAGTTGTTCCCTACACTTTGGCTGAAAATGCAGGGTTGAATCCAATCACCATTGTTACAGAGCTTCGTAACAGACATGCACAGGGTGAAATCAATGCTGGAATCAACGTGAGGAAGGGGCAAATTACAAATATTTTGGAGGAGAATGTGGTGCAGCCATTGCTTGTGAGCACAAGTGCTATCACTTTAGCTACCGAGTGTGTTCGGATGATTTTGAAGATTGATGATATTGTTACAGTGAGGTAGATTTGATGCAAAAAATCATCACAAGTTTGGAGATTTTGGGAGATCTTTATCATGGTATGTTTTTGATTTTTTTTTGGAGATTTATGTTTTATGTTTATGTAAACCCTTTTTTTAGTTTTGACTTGATATTTTTGGTTTTCATTATATGACTGTTTCTTGGTATGATTATCTAGAATTTCTCATCATCTGTGTTGGAAACTTTCTGGATTAAAAGTTTTGCTGCATTCCACATATTATTTCGTTTGTTGATGATATGTTAAAATGATTAAACGATGATATTTATAATTTATGTAGATTTGTATGTCTAAGAAGGCTTTTCTTTGAGTATTAGACTAGTAGTTATAGTCAATGGGGATAAATTTGATAAAAACCTCAATACAGTACATCTCCAGTACAGTCTACAGCAAAGTTTTTTCATCAAGCTTATTTATTACCCAACAATTTTAGTTTATACCATTTACATTTTTTATATCAATATATTTGAAATGAAAAACACTGAAAAACCCAACCTTGTATCTCCTCAAAGTAACTATTTTGTTATATTTTTGTCCAATAAAGCTTTTTGGCTGTTTTATAGCAATTTGCTTTCATTAAAACTAGAATGTAGCAATGTACAATGACCTTGTAGGGGAGGATCTCAATTTTTTTTAACATAACATAAAATGCTCATGAGACATTAAATTAATTTAGGCAAAATCACAACATAAATGGGGAAAATGTGGGGAAAACCATACAAAAACCATATCTATTGTCTTCCAATTCCAATGCTCAAAATAACCATTATGTTACTTTTTTTTGTACAATAAAACCATTTTATTTGTTCATTATGTCTAAAATAATGTTTTGTAACCTATAAACCCTTGAAAGCCGGTTACCTAACATTTATGACTTCAGAAAAAATCAACCTATTATCTTCTTGTAACCGGTAAATCCTTGAAAGCCGGTTACCTAACATTTACGACTTCATAAAAAATCAACCTATTATCTTCTTGTGCGCATAAAACCACTTTGTTATTCTTTTGTAATCTAAAACCATTTTTGTACAATATTTAATTATCTTACATTTTATGGCACAAATGTTTCTCTTTATAAGTTCATGATGATGCTGAGAGAAAATATGCATAGCCTAAATACTAGAATTATCAACATTGGAATTTTTAGCTACCAAAGTGAGTCAATGACATCTAGTGTTACCTCATGAGAAGAATTCACCTTTAGTTGAGAAGTATTATCGGTTGAAGGATGGGGTAGAAATATGCATGTGCCGAGAAGTCTTTCTATTATTTATTAAAATAACATTAATCGGGAATACACAACGAAAGAAAAGATAATTGTTAAAATTTTCATTGATTCCATAAATGAATTACATGTTATAACTTATAAGTAATGCAAACTAACATCAATTTTTATGTGTTTCCTAATTTGATGTTGCATAAGAATCGAGTTCATGTATACACAATTGAAGTTGTCACAATATAAAATGGTGGCTTTGGTGTTAGGGCAACGGTGTTAGAAGAGGAGATTGCAAAAATTGACGTTTGTATTTACCACATTATGGTATTCAACTGTGGCACTAGAGAGAGAAATAACAAATAAACAAGAGTTATGGTTGTCACCCAGAAAGATAAAGTTCACAGATCTTGAACGACGATTCATTGGGCAATCCTTCATCGAACATCAAAATAAGTAATGAAACTTGTCGAGAAGGATATATGAAATTGGAGCTCATGATCAAGAGTACCTTGTATGTAGCGCAAGATGCGTATCATGTAATGAAAGTGTACCTACGGACTACTGAAGGTCAATCATATCAAACTCATAGTGATGGAAGAGGGAGACGATAACAAAAACTCATAAGAAGAGAGAGAAAATGGTCGAGGAGCGAAGGGAGAGTTTAGGAAAGGGATTGCCCGGGAAACCTTTGATATCATGATAATTGGTAAATTTATCATTGATTTGATATATGAAGTATAAGTTATAAATAATAAAACACTACGATATAATGCTCAGTTGTTAGTAAGAATTTTACACAACTAATGGAAACAAGATACAAAATAAGCATAACACAATAAAATTAAGAATCAATGAACCAAACCGTATTTCCCTTCTCCAAAACTTCTCATATCGGACAATGGGGATCTGTAATGATAAATGAGATTTATCAATTATCAATTCTCGAGAGAAAAAATATAGGACATAAATGGGGAAATCAATTGTTTTATTGTACAAAATTAGAACATAAAAGGGTTTTACTGTATTAATTCAAAAAAATAAAATGAGTTTTTTGTACAAAAAACAACATAATGGTTTTTTTCGCGTATTATAGAATAATATGTTAGATTTTTCTGATGTCACAAATGCTTGGTAACCGACTTTCAAGGGTTTGTCGATTACAAAACATTATTTTAGACATGATCAACAAATAAAATGGTTTTATCTTACACAAAAATAGCATAATTGTTTTTCAAAGCATTGGATGATAATATGCTCAGTTTTTCTAGGATTTTCCCAAAAATATAACATAATGATTGTTTTTGAGCATTAAGAGACCATAAATTGGGGTTTTAACTTTTGCCTTTTTACACACTTATAAAAATATAACATACATAAAAAAGAATTACATACTAATTTGATTCATTCAATAAATTAATAGAAGAAAAAAAAACTAAAATCCAATTCAATTATTAGTTTAATACTTTAATTGATTTATAAATTATAGTATTTATGTTTTGTAACTTTTAAATTTGTAGTTTATATTTAATATGTTATGAAAATTTATATTAGTTCTTAACGAATTGAAATAAATAAGAAATAAAACTAAAGGGCAAATGGCATTGAAACCATTGTAGTTGAATTGAAGATTACATATGTCTTTCATTAAAGAATTGAAGGATAGTTAAGCATGTTTTCATGACATGATGATTGATGAAGGCGAGTCTCATCAACAACAAACATCCTAAGATCTCATTCCCATCGAATGTTTCTGGGATGAAAATTTTGTTTATAAGAATTTAGGTTATTTGATTAGTGTTTGTGTACGTTTTTTGGGTTAAAAATTTAAAATTTACTCTAACCAACTGTTTTGGCAAAATCAGAACAAAAAGATTTTCAATAGTGGTTTTCTCAACAAAGAAAAATCAAGAATGCCTTTTTCAGAAATAGGAAACGTGTCAAAGTAGGGTGATTTTTTTAAACGAGTGGGGTCTTGAGTAGTGTCATGAGTGATGTCATGTTTATCCTATCATCTCATCTTTTTGACATCTATCTAATTCTATATCATTTTTGTCATACAAGACATGCCATTTAAAAAAAGTTATTTAAATATGTATTGGGGTTAAGAAAGTGGTTGAAAATTTGAATTTTGTTAGTTTAATGGTTTGAAATTGAAATAATAATTAAACCAAAAATAGACGTTACCTTGCCTTCTCTCTCCTCTCTCATCATCAACAGAATGTCGTTTGACCGCAACACACCCAACATGCCACCAGGGTGGGGCGGTGTATGCCGAACTTGCCCATAAAACTAAACTTGCCAAAAAAAAAACTCTTCTTGGTCTATTCTTGTAAATTTACAATTTCATTCTGCAATAAGAAAAAAGATTTTTTGAAACCTTTCGCTCAAAAAAGTTTTGAAAAGCTTTTAGTTCCTAATGTGAACAAAAAGATTCGTGTATTTGTTTAGGCTGCTAGGAGTGGGCAGCGCCCACTCCCGTTATTGCACCTAATAACACCAAATAACGCCCAAGAACACCGCCCTCATCCATGTTATTAGGTGTTATACGCCTGCGCGTTGCTTCCCGTTACCACCATCACTTCCATTAACGCCGTTTTTTTTGTCATTTTCTTAATAACGCTGGTGTGGGCGTTGCCCACACCTACCAGTCTTATGTGATAATTACTTGAGAGAGTAATCAACCTTTGGTTTTATATATATATTTAGCAATTAACTTGTCTTGTACATATTGTATCAATAATCTTACAAACTTGTTAAAAAAATATCATTGTTAACGTGCATATGTTTGGGTGATGTGGTGTAACGTCCCAAAATTCAAGGCCAAAAATTTCATTTTTAGATAAGTTATTATAAAACCAACAGTATAAGAAAACATCCATAATATCATGTCCTGTCAAAACCAAAAGTAGAAGTAATCAAAACATGTTATCATAAAACAATATCAGAGTGTAATCCCAAAGATCTCATGTGCGGAAAACCATAGTGTGATGCGCTGCAATCGAGCCGACTCCTTTCCTTGAAAACGAACTACCTGAAACCAAAACTGAAAACCGTAAGCACGAAGCTTAGTGAGTTCCCCCATCATACCACATACCATATAAACACATAATGCCTAACATATCTGGGTGCTGGCCTCCCCTTCGGTATCTTTCAACCGGTGTGACAACCCAAAATTTCAATCTTGTACAAACCATTCAATCCAATCAAAGTTAGACTTGTTCCTGCTAACTTCTAGCACTATGTTGAGTCTATTTGAGCATTCCGAGCCTAGTATATCCAAGGAATAAGTGAATGGAAGTGCCAATTGAAGTTGTAACCCATTAAACATGCCATAAACCCTCAAAAGAGGAGTTTACGGCCAAGGGTCATGGGTTTACGACCGTAAACACATGGTGTCCGTAAACTCCATGATATATATATGGCCCTTAGTCATTTTTTAGCCACTTTTCACTTTTCCAAGCCTAGAACTCGAATTCTCTCCCAAGGATCTTGAGACTTTTGCTCCCAATCTTCAAAAATGTAAGTAAATCCTTCCATATATGAGTTAATACATATCTTCTCCTTGATTCACTCTTGATTTCATCCATGAAATCTCTTCTTTTGGGTAGATCTTCAAGTGTTCTTCATTTCACCAAGAACACCAAGAACACATACTAGTGTTTTTGGACTCTAACCACCCTTTCAAGCTTCCACTATGTAAGTACACTATCCTTAGCTTGTTGGATACTAGAATCACTTGTTAAACATCTAGAAATCGTGACCAGAAG